CCCCCGATCATGGAGGCCATCAGCTGAAGTGATCTTCCCCCCATGCCGCAGAGGCCTTCAGCCGAAACGGCCCCTCCCTCTCTGGGTTCATACCCCAGAGACCCAACCAACCAAATTCCTTCGACAACTTGCCTGACAGGATAACCTCCCATCAGCAGCAACAAATCCCAGTTTGAATGGTCGAGGCTCCCGCCACGACGAAACCCCGTTAGCGTTAGCAAAATTTCCGTTCTTATATTACGACCGTTTACCATTTCCAGCAATGCGTCTTGTGCGCAGGAATGGTTTCACCTAGGTAGGGACGATGCTTGCGCTTGCGCAGGCCTCTGCCCTCAGTTAGCTTCTTTGGTTGGTTGGTTGCACGCTTTTTAAAAAAAATGTAAAACTGTAAGATTTAAATGTATTTTATATTCGTTAAATGAGTTGTTTTTTATTTTTTTGTTAAAATTTTTCAGCCCCATTTCTCGAGACTTATTCGGCCTGTTCTTTAATAATCACACGAATTATTTGTTTTAATCGGTTTGAAAGAGTGGTTCGAACATTCTGCTTGGATGATTAGAGGAAAATGAGAAGAATAAAGTAAAAGAGTATAAAATAATTTATTTACATTTAATACATCCGTAAGAGGCCCAAGCCAAGGAACTTGTAGTATCACAGCATTTCTGCCATACAAAAAATGCTACTGTAATGATGATGATGATGATTATAATAAACAAATGTTTCAAAGAAGAATGGATGAAACTGCATGAAATGAGACGCAAAGTAACACTGTTCCGTAAGTTGATGTGACTTTGTCACAAATTGACTAGAACAAACATAATATGAACTTAAAACACATTTTGAAATATGACTTGCAACTGACAGAAAATTAATTTAATAATTTTCAAGCAGCTTATGAGGTTTTATTAATTTATAATTTTCTTCTAAAATTAATATGCAAATTCTATAGACCTACATACGCAGCTTACATTAGAGTAAATACTTGATGGTTCTCGAGACATATACAGCTTTTGAATGTCATTTACCTCATAAGCTGCATTTTTTTATAATTAAACAACTAAACAAACACAGAAAAAGGATATAAATATCCTTTATTGATGAGAACAAAAACTCAGATAACAGAAACCACTGCCTTCACATTAAGAGCTGGAGAGGTAATGATTTCTGCACTGGGACGAACTTTCTTGCTGCCGCTACAGACACAGTCTAGGGTAAGAGGACACCCATGAGGTCACAAAGTCTGTCGCGCGTTTGTATCACAATCTCTACGTCTAGCCCCCAGTTGGTCTCAAGCAGAGTGCTCTTGACCTCTTCCAAGTTCCGTCCAGGAATGACACTGCGCTCCCCATAATCCTTTAGCGCCTCGTAAAGTCTGGTGGCTGTTGTCTCTCGGACCCATGAGGAGCGATTGCATAACAATTTACACAACTGCACCAGCGAGCAACTGCAAACTTATCCATTCATCTGAAATATAAGTCCATTTCATTATGAAAACATATGAAACAGCAATTCCATGCCATTGCCCTTCCTAATTTCTTCACTGCATACATTTTATTAGTACAAAATGCTTTGGATGAGTAAATAAATTTGAAAATCTTTCTTTTCCTTTTATTTTTCATATTATTTTCTACCCTTACATACACACTAAGATTCAGAATCTGAAAGGTTATTAGTGTAATTTTCTGTAATCTGTTCATATCCAAAGAAGCCATGGCTGCAACATAATGACACGCCTAAAAGTCAGTACAACTTGAAAAACTAAGCTATATCTTGTGATATCTTACAGCAAAAATTATATTTAATGTAAGAATGATCCTCTACAAAATGTCAAAAAGACTGCTGCATAAACACACGATTCTCAAGGCTGTAAAGTTTAAACTTGCAATAAAGCAAGTTCTATTATGGAAAAAATTAATGCTAGTGCACCTTCCATTAGTGCAAACTCCACAGCAAAAGAGTTACAAAGCTGAGAGTATGTTCAACTAGACAAGAAATTCCCTCTCTACAATATTCTCAGGAGCCTGCGACTAGTCCCTGTTTTGGGACGGATGAATGTAGCCCAGAGCCCACCTTAGGTCAATTTTAATATTTTTCTTCCATCTACACCTAGTCTTTCAGGTGGTCTCTCCCCTTACGGCTTTCCAACCAAAATTTTGCACATATTTCGCACCTCATGCTCCTTCATTTCATTATCTTAACAATATCTGAAGAAAAGCAAAAAGTACGAGCCCTTCATTATGCAGTCTTCTCCAGCCTCCTGTTACTTCATCCCCCTTAAGTCCAAATATTCTCCTCAGCGCCTGTTCTGAATAACCCTCACCTGCGCTCTTCCCTTAAACTGTTCATTTGTTTAAAAGTTATTTCAGTAGCTCAGACGAGACAGCGTAAAATGATGACAGAGAACAAAGAATTGGAAAGGATGTGGAAGGAAGTGGTCATGGCCTAATTCAAGGTTATCCTGGCATTTGTCTGGAGAGAACAAGGAAAACCACAACAAACCTCAGTCAGTCTTTGGGCTGGGCTAAGATTTAAACCCAGGACCTCCCAAATACAAAGAAAGGATGGAGAAAATTACACAAAGTGGAGCATCAAAGATTCACACACTTTGCCAAGAAATATTAAAGCAATCAAGTGAAGTGTAATGGGCAGGACATGTAGCACACAGAGGAGGTGAGAAATGTTTACAAAACTTTAGTCAGAAAACCTACAGATAAATTGCCACATGGAAGGATAATATTGAAGTGATATGTTTTAATACAAAGCAAACAGCATAATAATAATAAAAATATGAAATTCAGCCATAACTTACCCCTAATTTCTTCATTAAGGAATTCCATGATGTCCGCAGAACATCTTTCAATCAGATATCTGCACGCCTGTTCCGAAAGTGGAGACTGGTGACTTCTCAGTCTAGGGACCAGACGCCCAACCCTATCTAAAATTATTTGTCCTACAAAGAAATACATCACACAAGTTCCATGAACTGCATAACAATGTCACTAGTAAATCAATATTCATAAAAAATGGAAAAAGAATAATGTTGTTTAAATCAGTCTTTCGGTATGACAAAAAAAAAACAACTAACTACAGGATTTGTACAGTTGGGATTTCACTGTACATGATACAAAGATTTCTAAAAGTCCAGGAACAGAAACCACAATGTGGTCATAAACCGCTGTTAAATGTGCCTAAAAGTAACAACTTACCAACTATGTTTCGTATAGTTCGATTGGACTGTGCAGCCCTAACAGCCAGTGCAGACAATACTTCAGCGATGCCCAACACTGCACCATGACAAGTATTGGGATCAGTGAAACGTGTCAGACGTAACAAATCATAGAGAACATATACAACTGTGTAATATTCAGGGGCTAGTGGTGTCAGATTGTGAAGTGCCTGTCCAACAAACATTTGTAAAAGATACTTCAATTCACAGAAAATGTTGAAAATGCAAGTTTCTAGTTCTTGTGTCTTATAAAAATGCCCACACATACGTAAACCGAGTCAAATTCACCTCTGCAGCAAGTTTCCTGATGGCTATGTCCCAGTGTCTAATCTTCGTTTTCATCAAGTGATTGATAAGGTACAGTGCTTTATCTTCAAACTGAGCAATATAAACACTGAAAACAAAAGTCTTGCACCATTAAATGCCTCTTGAAATAGCGTTACGTAAGTACTGTCATTCTTGTCGAACCTTTTACTTACATGAACTCTGACATCATAAATTATAAAATTAATCTATTGTTGAAACTGATTATATAATTGCAGTGTGAATAACAAGTCCACTTTTTCTTGCCAAGTACAAAGAGACAAAAACTTCTTAATGATCATCAGTGGGCAATAAAAGCTATTCTTAAAAATAAAAAAACTGTAAGAGACTAAAACATAATAAAATATTCTCGGGCGATCGGCCGCTTCAAACGGTCAAACAATAGAACTGACGTTTGAAGCGGCTGATCACCCGAGATGATTTTATTGAGTTATGTCACCGTGAAAGCTTCAAATCATAGATTAAAACATAATTACAAAGAATAAAGTAAAAATAATATGAAAACCATCACACAACTCAACAAACTGCAATACTAATTAATAAAATGTTCCTGTTCTATTATAAAACAGACAACAGACTGTACCTTATGTTGATAAAAGCATCGCTCGTGCTGGTAACATCAAGTCCCTCCAATGAGGGAAAAGCATGAGGTAATAATCCTCTGTCATTATATTCTCTCAGCGCATACAAAGCAGCTCTCCGACAATCGGTCTAAATATGGAAAAAAGAACCAAGAATGTTTACACTATTGTTGTGACAGCTATTTGATCCACATGATGCTTAAGTACAACATTAACACCTATAAGGATGAATATCGAGTAATAGTTCAGCGACAGATTATAATACTTATTCAGTATTAACATCTTTCTGAACTATTAAACAAAATCGAAATCATGCACTCAATACTGAAGTATAGTTTCCACATACATTCTTTGCACTTTGGCATTCTACATGCTCCTATATAGTCTGAATACTTTTTATCACTAAATAAAAATACACATAAATTTTTAACATCAATTTTTGCCATTCTGCTTTGCTATTTAATTCATTTGCCAGAAATTAATTGCCGCGAAGACAGCACGTTTCAAACAGAGGGCCACTGCTTTATGTTAATATATTTCAATACGCGTAATAATTTCACTATCTGGGTTTTGTATATCCCACAGGCATGTTACATGTTTCCTGCTTTAGATATTTTGAAGAAATCCAGCCACTAAGTAACAGAGTCGCCTGTATATGAAATAAATATATATGTCAACATCTCTTCTAACCAAATACTATAAAGAAAACTATTAATTAAATAAAATATTTTATCATCTTAAAAAAAACTGCACACACATCCAGAAATAAACATGCATTTCACTGTTCTTAGCCTTTATCAAAGCATCCTAGGTTGATATCCCTCCTTAAAATTAATTTATATAAGGTAGTTGTCTTTGATTTTTTACACTGTTCATTTCTATCTCACCGACTATGAATATTAGACGTCAAGCTCTTTTTAATCTTTAAAGTTTGGCTAGTTTCGCATGTTAGGCTGATACAGCTAATCCTGTTTATCCGGCTTTGGCTCTCAGAAGGCTGTTACTTCACGGATTATTACACACCTACTCATTCTACTAATCTAAATAATTCTTTTTATGAATCATGAGTTAAATTTTGTGATCTCATACTGGTATCCTGGGTTATTTCACTGTGTAGTCACGTGGTTGTAACCAATGTTTTAGAGGGTTTAAATGAGAAGCTGGTGGTTATATATGGTTGGGTGGAAACATGAAGTACATTCCACCAAAAAGTTGCTACAGCTGGGATACAAAACAGAGTATGAACCCAGGAGTCCACTCTCTAAACTCAGATCACTGTAAAAAACCTGAAATCTAACATAAAATAATCATATTAACACACGTGCCATCCTAATTCTTTTGTCATTAAATTTCAGGCTCATAAAAATGAATCTGCAACGAACACTTACCTCTCTGTCAAACACCACTGTTGCCATCAAGGCTGGTGCAATTTCTTCCACAAATGGCTGCAGTATATTAGGTGCATATGCTTCTGCAAATGCCCAGCAGGCATAGCATGCAGCATCACGGACATTTGCTGCCATTATGGGAACATGTGATACATCACACTCCAGAGCTCGAAGTAAGATATGTACCACAGTATTTAGTCGATGTTCTCCAAGTCGTCCATTGCGACACAACTCAGCAAACATAAGGCATCCTCCGTACAATGTCTCAATAGTCCGACTTACATAGACCAGGCGCAGAACTATATTTACTGTACGGTCTGCGTCTCCCATGGAAAGGGTTGCCGCCAGTGTTCTGATACTGTCTGCAGCCAACGACCTAAAATATAACATGACTGAACATAACACCTCTTTCAACCGCTGAAACTGTAAGTCAGTCGCATATGAGAAACTTTACTGGGGTTACAATAAATCTGAACCACATACTAGTATTATCATTTTAACATCCCTCACTTCTGTTATTGTGATCACATTGAATGCAGCAATTCTATGTTAGTAGTAAAGTACATATTTGGCTGTGGAGAATATTTGGACTGAAGACTAGAGGACGTTACACAAGGACGAGCATCATAAGTTGTACTCCAAGTCAAAGAGGATGAGATGGGCAGGACATGTAGCCTGCATGGGAGAGAAGAGGAATTCATACAGGGTCTTGGTTCGCAAGACAGAAGGAAAGAGACCACTAGGAAGACCAAAATAAAGGTGGGAGGATAATATTAAAATGTATCTAGAGAAACAGGATTGGAATCAGCTGGCTCAGAACCATCCACATTTGCAGACACTGTGAATGTTGTTCACAAAGCAACTGACAGAAATTCAGGTAACTCTTTCCAATGATTAATGCATGAACACATTTTAATGAATTATACATAAATAACTGATATTGCTGTTGATGCTTGTCTTCTGGGTGAAACGTGTTGGTGAAACAAGTTGACGTGTAAGTACATTTCAGAGAGAAACATACCGTCTCCATCATCAGGGCCATGACGACCTCAAATCTCATGAACTAAAATTGTTTCTACACCATTTACAATATACGCTTTAAGAGAGATTGTAAACAGTGTACTTTTGCATGAAAAAATTAAGGATGATCTCTGAAAAGGCGGATCTTTACAGATAAGGCAGTTTTCCATGAGAGCGGTAGGGCCAATAGGCATAACACAGTTGTGTGGGTTACAGAAAGCCCACACTCCACTCTCTTGGGACTTTTCTTCTGGTCTGAGGAAACAGTTCATTCATTTGCATACTAGTTCCTGTTTGAACAGCAACACAAATTCAATACAGCGGGAAGCACTGTTTCCGTCCTGCGGTATATAATTTCTTGGAACTGACATCTGGCAATAACTGAGGCTACAGGGAGGTTCTAGCATTCAAATTCCCAGAATCTTGCTACATAATTGCAACATCACTAATGTTATTGTTGTAAGTGTGGCTGAGCCAAGCTTTTAATGGGGTCTTGTATTTTCTGTGTGAACTTGAAAAGATTAAAAGAGGAAGTACTTATTGTTTACTTCAAGCTATTTCTGAATCACTAACATACAGTGACTGAGGAAAACCACAAAAATCCTTAGTCAGATTATACATCCTTAATAGTCTACATTTTATTCCAAAATTATAGGTTAAAAACTGTAATAGATAAACCACAATTTATTTTATGATATTCCACACTTTAAAGCATTTGAATTTGATTTCATTTGGCCACATGACGTTGGGCGAGTAAATTTAAATTCCCTTACCTTAAAGGTTAACAATGCTTTCTAAACTACGTAGGTTATGTAACATTAAATTGTAGGATGTGAAAGGTAGCAGTCATGGCCTAACTGAAGGCACTGTAAACTAAATCTGTAACATTTCATTTCATTGCACATGCTGAGTAAAAATGGCCCTGAAAGACCTACCTAATTACAGGATCAGTGTGTCCGAGATTCTGTACCAGTCCTACAATTTGATTAGGCTCCATTTCGTGAAAATTTCCGCAAGAGAATATCAGACCTTTAGACAGAAACACAGTCAATGACAAAATAAAGCAAACAGTTTATGCAAGAACATGTGACATCTAGTATCGTCCAAACACTTCACAACAACAACACTAGCAACAACTTAAAAGTAACAATTATTACTTACATACATCTTTATTACATTCCATGGATCCATAAGTTAGTCAGATGACAATGGGATGTAGAATAAGTCATAATAATACAATACATGTTATATAAATACAAGTCACACTATTATATAAATGTCACAAAAATAAAAACAAAGGGTTCACATGAAGTAGAGATAAGTTACAAATATATCCACCTATTATATACAATAGATAAATTACGACTTGTAAACATTAGATATTCTTACAAGCAAGAAAGTTATAATTATTTTTTGCCTGAAGTGATTTTCTTTATTTATGTGCATCGTTGCAATATACCTTGGAAGAACTTAAAAGTTGTAGTCTTTAAAAATGTAATCTAACAAACTTAATTTCAGTTATGTAATTATATTTCTATTAATTTTGTGTGAAATATGTGGTAGACAAAGTGGCACAGTTTGGATTTTTCCATTTGATTTATTTTTACTATCAAAATAATTTACAAGACTTGTGAGATTTGATGGTGGACTGTTGAAAATTTTGATTCCTGCATAATATGCACTCTTCTGAAAGCATGAGGTTGGCAATTGGTCTATGAAGCTGATTTTTATTCCTTGTGTTGACACTGTGTACAGCAGAATTAGTTTGAAAGAGTTCTTGGTTATATACAATAAAGTTCATTAATGAGAATATGTATTCACAGGGTAGAGTTAAGATCTCTAATTTCTTAAATAGACTTCTACATGAATTTCTAGGTTTTACACCAGCCATTAATCTAACAATTTTCTTTTGTAAAGTGAATATCTTTTTGAAGTTTGATGAATTTCCCCCCAAAATTATTCCATACTTCATTAGAGTGAAAATAGGCAAAATATACTGATCTGAGTGTCAGTGTTGCTGACATGCTCCACTTAACTTAGGGGTCAGTTTATCAATACGATTTGTCCAATTCAGGTGATTATCAATTTGCAAAACCCAGAAAATTTGTATTTAATGACTCTTGTATATACCTTCCATTATAACCAATAATTAAAGCAAGTTTAGGTGAGTTATTTGTTAGAAATTTTAAGCTGAATTACACAAATTTCTATAGCCTTATTTAGTTTAATGTTAATCCACAAACAGAACTACTTCATAAGATAGTGTAGTTGCGTCATATTGTGACTTATTAATTAAAATTAATTATTTAGTTTTCCATCAAATCACAATGTATTTAAAATAAGATAATTAAAATAATTAAAATATCATTCTGTGTTCCGGATCGAATAATCGCTTTACAATTGGAACAGTTACAACATGTTTCGGTTTTATTAAACCATCATCAGGTGTAAAATTATATTAAATTTAAAACTCAATTACAATTTTTTCTTTCTTTCGTAGTGTAGTTTTTTGGAGGTCGTGTCCAGATATTTTCATATAATGGATCAACTTTATTGTTTGAAGTGATGCATTTGATGTTTACATCAGTCAGAGATGAACTGATGTAAACATTGTCTGGAGGAGATCCAGTTACACAGTAACAAACCTTGTTCAGATACGGTAATACTTCCGGATCTCCTCCAGACACAACTGCGTTGTCTTGTTCATCTCTGACTGATGTAAACATCAAATTCATGATTTGACGGAAAATCAAATAATTAATTTTAAGAACTATTTCAATTAATGACAATCACAGCAAATAACCAAAAGTAACCCCAATTCAGTTACACTTCACTCACGTATTTCCACAAAGAAAACGGAAAGGAGTTCGCCTACTATCACCTATCTATTTTTGAGAAAAAAAGTTAAAATATTACGTGAATTTGGATGGTCGCTTGAAAATCAATATGGCGGATTGTTTTAAAAAGTTATTAGTTCAGAATATTAGTAATTATTATATATTGCGTGCCTATAAAGTAAATGCAAATTACATAGGGATAAAACTAACTATTTAATTAGTGACACTGACAAATCTAATATTATATAAATTGCTACAGATTTAAAAAATACATATGAAACAACACACCTACGAAATTAACAGTCTTCCACCACACACGTAAGACGCATAAGAACGAGTCTCCAGCTCGGTAGTATGGTCGGAGAATCAAGTAGCCTGCTCCCTGTCCAGAGAAGTGCGAGAACGAGAGTTCGGGGATCAAGCAATACAGTCAACCAATCAGAAGACATAAATCTTCATACTCATCGCCCTGATGATGGAGGCACGGCACGAATTAAACAGAGCTGAAAATTAAATTGAATAAAAATTTTCTTGTATATTATCCATCGTCTAGTCAATATAAAACGTAAAACGACGTTTCGGAGATGGGACTCTACGTTTACGTTTTATATTGACTAGACGATGGATAATATCCAAGAAAATTTTTATTCAATTGACTCTTCACCATCGTCAAGAAGTTTTAGATTAGAAATCTTCATACTCACCGCTGTGAAAACCTCAAATCTTACAGACGTTGACAAATTTAATCTAATGCCATAGAAACGTGCAACAGTAAAGCGAAACATAACTAAATTATTTTTATCATATATCTTACCAATTCTTTGTATGACTTTAACACCAAACTTCCTGACAAGTGTATTGAGGTTCTGTTGCTAAGATCTACTTTAACATTGATTGACCGCGAGGAAGGAGCCGTGATAGCTCAGTCAGTATAGTGACTAGCTACGGGCTGGACGACCGGGGTTCGATCCCCGACGGGGGCAGAGGATTCTTTTTCCTCTATCCTCTGCGATCAGACCGGCTCTGGGGCCCACCCAGCCTCCTCTACAATGGGTACCGGGGTCCTTTCCCGGGTGTAAAGCCGGCCGGGGCGTGATGCTGACCACTCAACCCCATCTAGTGCCGAGGTCAAGGAAGAGAGGAGCTTTACCTCCACTCACCCCAAACGCCTACATGGCGTATAGTGGGACAAACTTTACTTTAAATCCTCCCGTTTTCCATGTTTCAAGATCGCTGCAATTGATGCTAAAGATCCACACTGTGCAAACACTGGACTGTCAGAAGAGACAATCCACTGAAATGAACATGCATTATATAATGAGGATGCGATATTACCAACAAAATAGTGTTTAGCAAAATATTCAACTACGCATAGAAAATGGGTAAAAATTACATTCATGTATATGTTCCAGAGGAACTTTTTCAAAATGATGAAGGCTAGCTGCATGTGTCCACAATCTACCTGGGTACAGTAGGGCCCCACTTTTCAATTGCGTGCATATGCCCCACGTCCTGAGTCAGAGAAGTGCGTCCGGCGCCATTTTTAGTCTGTTTACAGTTTACTTTCATGTCGTTTTTTTTAGGCCTAGCGCTATTATGCACTTCCTATATGATAATGTAAACATCTTATTAGGCTTTGATATGCATTTGCAATTGAAGAAAGGCAAAGATACACTTTTCGGGGGGGTCTGGTCCCTAACCTGCCGTATATGCGGTGCCCTACTGTATCATTACCACCAACCAGGGCCTTGGAGTCGGTACTAAAAACTCCAACTCCTTCACAAAAGCTCAATATGTATTAATAATGGTAAACCTACTAAAATGGTAAATGGTACCATAAGAGATTTCATCACCACCACATGAATCATCAGGCTACTTTTTAGACGTATAACCTATATTTAAATATTAGTCTAATGGTTATTGCAGAAATCGGTTGATTTGTAGACAGTTTGTATTCTTAAAGTACCGGAGCCAAAGTTACAAAGCATTATTCCCACACCATGTGGCTCAACGCGTCATTGAATCTCCCTAAGCGTGAAGCCGCTGGTGGCTCACACGGTACCGAAAGTGTTACAACAGTATTTCAGCCCTGATACCAACACAAAACAAACTATTTTAAGTGAAACTCAGTATCAATCATTATAATATAGTACTGTCTAGAAATTTGTATGGTCACATTTTATTCATCTATCTACTAGCAGTACGAATGAATTTCGATTTTGAAGATCTGATCTTTTAGAATCATGAAGTGCACCAGGCTAATGCAAAGACTTTTACTATCTGTCTTTCACAGAAAATTTGACAAAAATTATTTCACTCGGTCTGAGGCAGTTAACAATAACACCGTGCAAAAGTGTCTCTGATAACATGGGCAATAACATAATCCACACTACCGATAACAGAACACACAACTGATATTCAGGCACAACATGGCCCCAGAAGAAACATGCACTTGACAGGGGCAGGAGGTGAATGTCAGTGGCAGCTCTCAGACCAGAAAGTAATTCATATCCTTTTGGCCACATGGGATTGCTGTGTATATATATTGTGAAGCTACAAGATATTTAACTACATGCTAAGGTTGTGGTTGTTTCTTGGCTCTACAACCCAGTTGTGGGTTGTTGAGGGTTTTCGCAGGCTCATTTTTCGTTGGTTTCTTGGTCTTTTGAGCATAGTGAGTGACCAGCTCACTGACTGCACAATTTCTACTCACTCATGATTTGACTGCCAGAGCCATCTATCAATGAAGCAGTGAATCAGGAGAGACTTGGGTGAGAAATGGCGGCTGAATTATGCTTACGGAACATCTCGTATCATGCTCGTAAGGTTCTTTTACATGCCGTGAATCTACGACATGGGACCGCTGATTTTACTTCCCCTCCGAAGAAAGTTGTGCTATGGATTTTTATCATCCTTAAAAATCCATCACCTCTACCGGGATTGAAACATAAAAACCTTGGGTCCAGTGGCGAGCAGGCTAATCCACCAAGAGTGACATATGCTAAGGTACGCATTGAAAAGGATTCATAGAACATTTTTAAGAAATAGCTTTGATCACAAATTTATTTATACATTATGATTTAAAAGGTACAGAATTGAACTTTTGTAGTGCCCAGACTGCAATACTTCAGCTTTTACAGAATATAATCATAACCTCTGTACCGCCCACATGGTTATCCCTCACAGTACTTTTGGGACACATTAACATATTATAAAATATCCCCTTTATCGTAATGTCATGGTACAGAGCAATATTTGGTTTTGCATACCAAAACACAAACAGTGGCAGAAATATTTTCTCCTTTACCCAATTAAACAACTGAACTTACTTAAAAACAAAAAAAAAGTCATAAATAAAAATGGCAATAAGAGTTAACATTATTGCACAAAGAAGGTAAATAAAAAAGAAGATATTTATATGGTTTTATGATACATTCTCTTTGGTCACACTAGCTTGTATTTCAAATTAAGCTGTTTATATTGATTTTATTTTTAAAAAAGTGAAGAAACTAAGTATGAAACCTAATAAAGAGAAAAAATAATGTGTATACATATAAAAACATTATCACACACAGAGAATATATCTGGTATATTATATAGAACATATGTGTTCGTTGTTTCCAAAACCTCAAAAAACATTACACATGTACATTCTTCTTATATAAAAAATTATACATTGTTCATTATATAAAAAACTAAAATCTCATATCAGGCATCTCTCATCAGCACGTGGATCACATAGCCTCTTTTAACAAAATGTTTTCAAATGCACAAGCTAAGGTAGAATTTACATAAAAACAACAATTGCACTGGAAGCACATTTTAAAGATAAAAAAAAAAGACAAATCTATATTCCCACGAGGGATCACCATTATTGTTCTGATAAATAAGGTGTCGAGAGAAATGTAGTGTAAAGTTGTGAAAACACAAGAGAGAGATATATATATAAATGTTTAAAGAGATCATCAGGACACTGTTCTACGTACAAAGGCAGGAGATGGAAAATACAAAATTCAAGTGATAAATTATCTGTATCAAGATCTGAAACAAGTATTTGACTTTGGTTGAAGTGGTTTTGTTTCTTGTGACTCTTAGTTGATGAGATTACCCTCGAAGCACAAATAAATTTCCATATTGTGTAGAGGGGGGAATTGAAGTGATGTCCCTGTTCACTAACTTATGATAGGTTACCAAACTTTTTATATACCCCAGTATAAATTTTCTATTTGAAAAGACGTGAACATATTGAAGTAAGACAAGAAGACGGATGAATGCTCAGAGACAGAGAGACCATGCATTACAAAGGAAAAGGAAGAAATATAAGTTACATATTTGTTTTAATTAAGATAAAGTTAAAACAATAAATGTATCAGAAGGAATGAGTTAAGGAAAGGGGTGATTTTTGTGTAACAGTTTTACATTCATTTACAATTGAACATTTGTTTTTAACCCCTTATTAAAGATGAGACATTAAGAACTATTATATATATATATATATGTATTATATCTTGCTCCGGATAGAAAAATTCTACATTCTTAACACAAAGGGAAAGATATTTAAAAATATGTACCGTGAGCAAGGGAAATATTCATTATTTACAAAAGTTTCGGATTATTAATATCTTTGGGTCCTCATCAGTATTTCACCCCATTTATTTAATATAATAATTATAATAATTGTATCTCATTGTGTATCTATATATAATTTCATCTTTCATTTATATTTATAATATATATATATATATCACACACCTTGTGATTCTATGAAATCAATATTCTGTATTTAGGCTGAAGAATAAAAAAAGTCCTTGTGCGCATGTGTGCACCATAAAGTGCACATACACAGGATGGGAAACTGCTCCACTTGGCCAGTCAGTTCCATCAACATTGGGCATGATACATGCGCACTCCTGATTATAATAATGGCTTAGAATCAGGCAAAGGATATAAAAATTCTTCTCTACATATTATTGTCAAACCCATATACACAGCTCACACACTTGGAAGTATCAACAATTCGCTTCGCCACTAAACTGTTCCTGGAATGATGAGTATTTTGTTTGCTTCTTTCAAACAACAAATACAATATGTCTATACATGGGGTTCCTTGCATGTATCGTTGATGTGAGAGTGTTTAATGCAAAGACACTTTGATTCGTTTTTACAGAGTAAATGTGTTTTCACTCTGTTTCTGAACTATAACTGTAATATTAATAATCATAATTTATCTTAAATCTCCTCTGAGAACCACAGCACACATTTTAGACAAAACCTGAAGTTTATTTGAAACACGAAATATCATATGTGTATGTATATTTGTAAGCATTTTGTTATGAGAGAAAGCTCGATCAAATATATCCACAAATAATTAAAAAAATTAGCTATGGAATTATTGGTACATTTTACTTTGTTAATCTTAAATGCCTTTTTTTAACATCACGCATAGGCCTATAACACATGTCATACTGAAAAACAAATGCTTCAATTTCTAGAGAAAAAAATATCTGTAGTGAGCTCCTGAGTATTTGTGTGAGATTATAACAAGGCTGGGATTTAGCAAGAGCGTGTACATAAGATGGGGATCTTAGGAAAGGTAAACTTTTGGTTTTTTTTATGTATATCACTGTCATTCAGCTTTTATATCATGTGCACCTCAAATCCTACTTTGTTTTTTTGTGTTTTTAGTTTTGTTAAAGTGAGGAGTCTATTTGTATTATATTGTCACAAGAACCCACCAATAGCTGAGATACAGAAGTCACAGCTAGACATGAACAGTATTCTGTTAACTAGTTCAATCAATGTCAGTTCTGACCCTGCAGCTAGCACAGAGACATCATTGGCAATTCATAATTTATACTGTTTAATGTCTTAGCCTTGAATGGATCCATTACAGTTCTCACACTGAAGTTGCCAACATACGGCAAAAGTCAAGATAAAACATTTCATATCTGGCAATAATATATTTATGTATCACATTATGCCTCCTCAACATTTTTCTTAATCTCTTATCCATCTCTTAAAATGTAGGAGGCGAAGTCAGTGTGGGACCTGTTACAGACGCAACTCACAGCACTTTCTCTATTGTGGTTCGTATCGTTCCGCACATTTTGTACATACCATTCTCCATAACAACAAATCATGTAACAAAATATTGTATTAAAACAATTGGCACTAAAATAATGGACATATGCAATTAATAATCATATGTGTAACTTTTACAAAACTATCTGAAGAATTACTCTATTTATATACATAAAAAACTAAGATATTGCATCCAATTGTCACTTCCACCTTTACGAACAGAAATAATTCTTTGGCGCCATTACCAAACTGTTTATGCTTAAAGAAATTCTGAAACAGTTATTTTACATACTAATATTACTACTGGCTAATGAAATCCCATTATCATGAAATCACATGTGGTAATACAGATCTGATGGAGTAAAGCATCTTGCAGCCAATAAGTTCTAAGGCCTCATACATAAACAGGTCAGAGTTCTAGAAATCCCCAAGGATCAAACACGGACAATGATTCAAATGAATTTCTGTATTTGTAGTACGCCTAATATACAAGCAAAACCCATTGTGTACTTTGACAAATTATGGCAGAATTATTATCCTTAACAACTTCCTTAGATCAATATTTAAGTAAATCATAGATTGATCAATTCATGTTATAAAAAATTATAAATATTTATTGAACACTGTACTTAAACTTTAACAAACACGTAACTTTTATCATTCATTTGTCAGCTGGCCATGCATACCATTAACATATCTCTAAGCTATTCACCTGGCCTGACAAACCTGTGGTATATATGTCCCCCGTTACTTTATGAGGTTAAAGACAATCTAAACACTAATTATGTCTTTTATATCACCCAATTATACTATGGAAGTACAGCACACTCCCTATTATCTGTGTGTGATATATGATTTGAAGCTTTCACGGCAACGTAACTCAATAAAATCTTCTCGGGCGATCAGTCACGTCAAATGGTCAAACAATAAAACCGACGTTTCAGGGACCGTCTCTGTCCCCATCATCAGGGTTCTGATGTGGCTGAGTTATGTAGTTGTCTCCATACATATACCAGCCCGGCCAGTGATCATGGCCGAACCCTAGCCAATCACAACTGGTGGGCGGAGTCAAAAGCACATGCTCTTTGGCCTTGCTCTCTATTGATCTTAAGCCCGTTCTGCCCCTGAAACGTCAGTTTTATTGTTTAACCATTTGACGCCACTGATCACCCGAGGAGATTTTATCTGTGTGCGGATTATCAATGCATGACTTCTGTTTTACATAAATGCAGACGTGTGTGAAGCAGGCATTTGACATCTTTACATATTTGTTTCGAGGGTGGAGTATAGTTTTGGAAGGGTGTACAGAAACTGTGGTTGAACAATGCCTTTCTCTTTTTCAGTGCTCAACCATTCAGTGATGTTTGAGGGGTTGAAAAGGTTTGTTCCAATGGACAAGGCAGTGGAGAGAGAGAGATGCTTCAGCTGCTTATTCTTTTTAAAAAATTAACATGCACATCAATTCCACTATATTGCACTGTGCGGCAATTTTGTGAAAATGATAGGTAACACTTGTGTATCCTAAGGAAGTTGGCTTAAAATTGTAAGAAAATTTTACTGACAATAAAATCAAAGCTCGAGTTAACTGAAAAATTTGAGAATCGAGAAACAGAATCAGCCAAAGATAATAGAGGTAGGGAACGAGTGACTGTGTCCATGAAATTACTATTTGGCTGAAGACAACAAAATAAGAGCATTATGGAAAGAAATTGTGGTGCTGGATGCTTGCTATATAAGGCATATCCTTTGTTCTGGTAACAAATATATTTTTATGTTACTGACTGTATAGACTATAAGAGGTCCCAGAACCTTTCGAGCAAAGAATACTTGACATAAACCATATAATTTGCCCTTTCTCCATCAGTTCTGTAATACACATTGATATTTAAAGGAATGGCAACTGAATGATGATTAACAAATAAAGTAATTGCCCTTGTTCTATAAATATTCTCCTTCTTGCATTCCTGACCCAGATTAAATTGCACTTTCAAGTAAACATTCGACTAGCTGGATAACTTACATTGCATCTCGTCATTTAGAAATGTACATCAGCTGAGGTGGTGGAAGACAATTGATTTTTATCTTATTGGCAATTTTATTTTAATCATTGGCACATTATGACTTTATGGCAGATTACTAAATTTTTGTTAATTCTGGACATCTTTGAAGAAGGTGCAGATGAATGAAAATATGTTTGCAGTTCATAATAGCTGCAACCATTTCTCATCTTCTTTTCACCCTAAATTTAAATTAATTTTTTAAATATTTCTACTGCTTCTCAGTTGGCCAAGAACATGCTGAGTATTATTTTACAGGTACTGTAATCTCTTATACGTATGTACACAATGAAGAAAATACATTCATACTTCCTTAATTGAGGACTATAGCTACAAGTAAGATAGCATCCCTCCATGGAGAATAGAAGGAGGGACAAACGTTTATGGCACACACTTTTTCATTTTAAAAAACTTTAACATTAACACCTCTTTCTTCGGTGTGTTTTAAATAAAGACAATGTAAAAGTTTCACAATGGATGGACGTACATATTTACAAATGAATAACGCTGTAAAAACCCTTCTTTTCATAACATCAGTTCTTCATATTGGTTTCTAAACTGAGCCATTCCTATGAGTCATTTGCATTCTCCAAATTGTTATGTAATGTGATATTGGAGGTATAAGGGTCTTAAATTCTTAATCAGAGAGAGAGACAAAGGGAAGAAAAGTTTGAATATTTAAATATTTTTAAAAGGATTCAAACATTTAAAAGGGATATAAACACTCCATCTTGGTGAACAATTAAGGGATGGAGGACTTGTTTTTCAGTAACTACATATGAGTTATATATAATAAAGTGGGATGTCTACTGAATCTAGGATCTCAAAAAGTTTCTTGAAACACTACTACATTGTGAAGAATACAGGAACTCCACTAAACAGTTTTTCACTTTTTCTGTCACGGGTCAGGGAAGCCATTAAACCAGTGTGTATAAGAGACACAAATTTTGATACTACTGCTGTAAGTGAAGTGAGAAGATACTGTTTATCATTTTAATATAGAGCCTTTCAATTTATTTTTTCTGCTGAAGCATGTGTTATCTCTACTGCAATATCAGAGGAGCTACAACACATTTTATTTTTTAACATTGTACACAAAAACTTTTATAACAGCAACTTCTTTGAATAATGTTAACATATTGATGAAATATGAAGGTTTCTGATGACAGTGCATTATCTGTAGATTGTAATTTAAATTACAATCTTAAAAATTGCATAATTAATAATAAAAACCAATTTCCTGACCCGAGCACATGGCAAGATTACACACCATTAAGCGAATTTTAAAAAGGAGATGAAAAGTCACTACTTTACATTGGTATTAAAATGAGTAAAGGGAGAGAGAAAAATATGATAATATATTTTTAAGAGGAAGCAACAATGAACAAAGCCTGAGAAACAGGAGGCTTTCTGTTTACACCTTTGTACTAAAAGGGTAAAAAAAAGTATGAACCCAAATATTAAAGCACATTCTAAATTGTGCAAAAAGTATTGTAAAACATATTAGGACAAGATGTAACTTAGAAATTTATCTTAATACTGAACATGCCCTACATAACTTTTGGAACTTTTCATTTTGACCTTTTAACATAAGTCAAGAAATGAAAATGTTTTATTATAATGGTAACTCAATTTGTGGCCTTATGTTGGAATTACACAACAGTATACTACAAAGTCTTTACCTAAATGCTTTGCAATTTATTACGCAAGTATGCCAGTTTCAAGTGACAATAACTTATCTGATACTGGCTACTGATTTCATGCATCTTTTTAGATGAAATATAATGTTTAAAATGTTCTGTTGAAAATTTATGGCCAGCTGTATGCTCCATACACCATTAAGTAAAGAATAAATTTATCCTGCATGTCAGATGTAAACATCAAACAATAAATGTTACATTTTTAATGGCTAATTACAGAGGCTTTCTATTTCTCAGGTGTGTTCATAGGGGATAATGTTCATGTAAAGGGGGTTTGATGGAGGGGTGGAAGCTGCTGACTCTTAGGTTAGTTAGCTACTCTCTTATTATGATCCATTCACCCTCTTTAACATAGAACCCCTGATGAGATGAGATTACTATTCAATCTACACACAACGACGGGTAGGCAGATTGGTTCCATAGTTTTATTCCAGACTGTAAGGTTGGTAGTAAAATCCTCTTCCTCAGTACTGCCAGTCCCTCTTCGTATTCTTATGCAGCTTGAATTTTATATTCATACTTAACCCATGCTTTACCAGAGCATTTGGTTCAATTTCCGCTCACAAACACTGAAACATAGATGGGTTCTCATCTTAGAGAAGACAGTCATATTAATAATGCCTCAGACCAAAATGGAGGCCTCATCTCAATATAACGCGAACTTTGTAACAAAATGACACAATCGTTTTGCCGAGATCACAGATTGAAACATGAAACATGAGTACCTTCAAGAAGCACAGATAATAAATATTAAAATTAAGGCTGGGATTATCATTCACAAAGGAACACATTTGATCCCTGGCTTCAGTAACATTCACACTTAATTAATCCTAAGTCGTCATTAATAGTGTTTTAATTACTTTTATAGTGGCTCTAGGTATCAAGCTGACAACCATTTCAAATTACTGCTTTCTGCATCTACACATGAAATTCTTTCAAATTAACTGGTCATTAAAACTGAGTATAGATATGGACAGGATTAATAGATTCAAACTGTCAGTATCAAAGGAATTACCACCATTTACCCATTTATCAAAGATTGATTGCCGTGCTCGTAAGAGCCGACTATGGGTCCCTGTGCTGATTCTAACTAAAACTATAAGACAATTTAAATCTCATGAATTCAATGCATCACAGAAAATTATAACGTCCCTTTTATTAGTTGGTAAAAGCATATCTAATTCTGAGTGGGTGATTTTTCCCTTCCAAATTTACAACCACAAGGCTTCTGGAGGACAGCTAGCCTGCCTACAGTGGACGGACACCATCTTCTTTGTAGTAGGAAGTGTAGAATCTGCATTGTTTTATCCACCTATTTACATTGCTTAGGCTCAGGGTAACGTATCTTATTTCCAATCGCAAGAAAGAAGACGCAGATCCACTTACCAGGCGAGGAGAGGACGTGCTCCTCAGGTGAAAGTGTCTGTGAGGCAAAGCTATTCTCTGTATGGCTTGCAGTATGAATAGCGGTGGTTCATGTGTTGGCTGTAGGACCCAGAGTGTGAGAAGCGCTTAAGACACTTGGAACACTGGAAGGGCTTCTCCCCACTGTGCAGACGCTTATGTTCAGTCAGGTGGTGCTTGTGTTTGAATGCCTTGGTGCACACATCACACTTATGTGGTCGCTGGCCTGTTGCGTAACAGAAACATTCTGTTCATCAATGACCAATAAATTAGTTTCCAGTGATTCATATGACAGAAGTTTCTTAAACATTTTAGTCATAATATTAAATTCTTTGCAGAGCGCTAATGCCTTAATGCATTCTCACCATCTTCCCCTTGAGGACAATGTTATGAAATTATGACTTACTTATGTGAGGTTACCAAATTACCTGCTTAAAATGACTTAAATCTGGCTGAAAATAGATTAAATAATTGTGATGGTAAATACTGTCAGTGAAAATGTATAATTGCTAACGAAGGACGCTCTGTTTACGAGCCACGTGATTTTGAAACAAACATAGCTTATGATTAGCAATACTAATATCAAGCTTGTGATTGAGTAAATGGAAATAATACTAAAATATTTCCTGCATATTTATGTGCACTTCAGTCTTTTTGAATCAGATATGTGGATAAGTTCAGAAGATGTTTCTTCTTCTGAAATGCTGCTTTGCTAAAAATGTATCTGGAAGATAAAGATAGTGGTGGCCACTGAAGTACTATTCTGTTAGTCCATGCCCTTTTGTTACACCTTGTTACTACTCTTGCAGAACTTGAACTAACTAAATAACTGCATAATACTTCTTGAGAAGTTAATAATCACTCAGCTATACAAGTAGTTCTCCACACTTTACTAATATGAAACTCAAAGGTATATTACTATGAAGATGGCTTTCTTCTGGGATATTTCAGCTTGTAGCTGGGTAGATATTAACATTTCAGAAGAGCTTACTGCCTCCATCCTCCTCTGAAAGACCAGTTAATATCTACCAGACTACACAGTACAGAATACAGCCATTTATATACATGTCTCTGCGAGAATCTGACATTTCAGTTTCATTATATTCTTCACAAGAGCATGGCACTGGATCCATTAGGCGCCAGATGAATCCAATCCACATCCTCACACCATTAATCTAAACATACATCTTAATAATAGCCCTCCATGTCTCTTCCACTGAGGTTTACTGACCAACATTTTTTATGCATTTCAAATTGTTCACACATTTTATACATGCCCTGTCCACCTCAGTCTCCTGTATTTTATCACCATAATAACATTGGTGAATGAGCCGGGATAGCTCAGTCAGTATAGTGACTAGCTACGGGCTGGACGGCCGGGGTTCGATCCCCGACAGGGGTGGAGGATTCCCTCTGTCCCTGTCGGGGAACGAACTTCAGTCATTTAATCCATATTCAGTCACTATACTGACTGAGGTACCCCAGCTGCAAGTATGCATGTTTATTATGAATTCTAATCATGAATGTAGACAAAAATGCACGGGAGAACACTGATATACTGTGTCGAGTGCAGCAGAGGATTTAACAGTATCCTCAGCGTTAAGGACCAGAAGTTTATCATTGATAACCTCCTTTCAATAGATTACAAAGACGCCGCTTACCAGAATGTTCATACTTGTGCCGAGCAAGAGAGCTCTGTTTGGAAAAGGCCTTGTCACACTGGTCACAGATAAACTGTCCCTCCACTTCACCATCTAATCCTGTGACTCCACCACCTTGCACGAGGCCTTTGCTAAGTGCTGGAGAGAGTTTGTGTCTCTTGGTGGGTGATGAGCCATCCTCATCCATGATCATAAGGGCATGATCTATTTCCTGGTTTCCACCTCCACCACAACCAGAGTCATCTGCCTCATCTGTTGTGTCACCCCCATCCAAATAACCCTGGTGGAACCAACATAAAACCATACAGTGGCTATATAAAAGTTGCTACACTTTTTATAACATCCCATCAGTTACAAACTGCTCATCTGTGGGTTATACTTGTTAATTTCAATGACAAGTGTTTTACATCATAAATGCAGTTCAATTTAAATTATTTTAAGCCTCTGTATATACACCAGTTGGATTTAACTGTCAGACTGGTGTGTGCTGGAGCCATTATTCTAAATGAGATTAAATGATAGAAATCCTGGAACAGGCAAGTTGACTAATGGAGCTGTAATCAAAGTTTGTCTGTGTAGCAATTCAACAGTGTATAGGCATACCTCGAAGATTATGCGGGTTCGGTTCTAGACCACTGCAATAAAGCGAGTCACACAATTTTTTTGGTTTCCTAGTGCATATAAAAGTTATGTTCACGCTATACTGTAGTCTATTAAGTGTGCAATAGCATTATGTCTAAAAAAAACATTGCGAGAATTACCAAAATGTGACACATGCTGTTGGAAAAATGGCGCCGATAGACTTGCTCGACGCAGGGTTGCCACAAACCTTCAATTTGAAAAAAAAATGCAATATCTGTGAAGCGCAATAAAACGAGGTATACCTGTACTTGCAACAAAACAAGGAAGTAATCATATAAATGGCTTGTGAAATGATTAACTACATCTGTAGGGAACATTAATCAACAGATGTGCCTCAAAATCATGACATAATTTAGTGTAAGCCTCCAGTGTCAAACTGTGCCAAATCTACACAGATTAAGTTTTTCACATGAACACTGCAAGAAAATTGAACTATTAATACCCATTCTTTAAACGAAGGAAACAGATACAGTAAGAAGTACTTATGTTCACCTGTTTCCAGGAGCGCTTGTCGGAGCTGGGACTGGAACTGCAAGCTCGACCATTCTCCAGGTGATGTTGATGACTGAATATGGGTAGTGGAGAGCGTGATGATACATGTAGATCAGCCCCATACATAAGCCGTTCCATGGGAACTATTCCCACAGTGCTGCCATTGATTCCATTTGTGAGACTGGCTACCATGCGATGTGATGCTGTTACGGGCGGCTGTGCCAGGATGCGTGCTAACCTACTGCCATTTGGAATTCCATTACTGAGCCCTTCAATATGCTGTTGCAAATTTATTGAAGACATTGGAGATGGTGTCCGACGGAAATCTGCTACAGATGACGATGAACACGAGGAATGTGGATAGTGGGGCTGCTGGAATGGAGGGAGTTGTCTAAAAGGTGCTGTTAACAGGGCATTACTATTTGGGGTTGGACTACGTGAAGAGGATTTGCGACTAAGATTCATGGCACAACCGACATCCTCGCCAGAATCAGAATGAGCTGTTGCTGACGTTGGCCTAAGTGGTGAACTGGATGGAGTTGAAGCTAAAGAATGTTGGTTCTTCTTAGTAGAGAGGTCCAGCGGTTGTTCTGCACCAGAGGAAGGACATAGAGGAGGTGATGCGGTAGAGTAATGGCCCACATTCATAGTTTGAAGGTGTGACGGTTGTGATGAAGGCACGAGAGATGCTGGAGGAAAACCCGGAACTGTTGCCAGAGGAACATATGGGATATGAACTAACCGCCCTTCACGACGGTCCCTAGCACGGGTATTTTGGAACCAGACCTGTACAACACGGACTGGAAACCCAATTTTGTCTGCTATTCGTGACAATTCATCTTTCTTCGGTCTTGGATTAAGGGAATAGTGGCCTTTGAGGACTGCAAGTTGCTCATCAGCTATCAGGGACCTCACACGTACTTTGCGTCCATCTTCTGAAACCTGGTCTGTTGTTGTAATGGATTCAGCTTCATACTCATCTTCTTCTGTTACTGGCTCCTTACCAGAAGCTCGTCCATCACCATCATCGCCATCCTCACTTCCACTGCAACCACCATTAAGCGACATCTCTTCTGTCTTCACTGTAACAGCATCCTCCAACTTTGCAGCAAGTCCTTCACTTCTGCGATCCCCTGGACGGCATTCGCAAAGGTAACGTTCGTGTTGATGGAGGTCGATGGGACTGGGGAATTTCTTCTGACAGTGTCTGCATGATGAAAACTCTGATGAAGAAAATTCGCTACTTTTTTTTTGGAACTCTGTTACATTGTTTTCAGTACCATTTGCATGTGGAGATGATACACTGGCAATGCTTGGACAACTGCTGCCTGAAGATGCCGAAGAAGTCAACTTCTGCATGTTGGCTTCCAGAAACTGTTTAGTTACTGTAGCATTTACAGTCTCCAGAATCCTCTTCACTGCCTCAAGGTCACCACTATTACTCCCAGCACCTGGTGAATTTCTACTCCCACTTCTGGCAATAGGGGATTCTCTTTCATCTACTTCATCATGCCTACCTTCTTCTCCCTCAGGAGTGGACATATGCATGTCACATTCATCTTGCCTCTCCTCCTTCACTTCCCTTGCTTCTTCTGCATCTTTGATACCTGTGAAACAACAGTCAATATTTACAATCAACACTCCACTTACCTCCCAGAGTGATGCGGCAAATTACAAAAATATGAGTGAAGTATTTATTTCAACATATCTTCAGTATTCCTTCTGGCTTAAATTCATATGATGCATTACAATGTTATGACCATATGACTGGAACTTCATGATTCCTTGGTAACAATAGCCTTTAGCTGGCCAATAATTACAAAAAAAAAAAATAATATAAAAGCTGGAAAGCAAAGCAGAATATTGCATAGAACAGTAAACAAAGTTACAGTGTCATAATTGGTAGACTAACTAAAGGGCTATTTTAGCATTATTATGTCCAACTGAAACATTTTAACAGGAAGGTCAAAACCTTTCATTAAATTCCACCACATCAAATGAAGCGGTTATTGTCCGCAGATGACGAGAAAACCCTGCTGAGGGAAGTCGTTTCTGGTGCAGTGCAGGAGGAGTGTTAGTTATCAGCTGGACTAGAGGGCCTCTATTGGTGGGAAGTATGATACGTCATAGTTTTACGCTACTACACAGACTGAAAACATCAAGCAGTTACGAGTAGCGTGTAGTGAGTGCACCTCTAATGTGTTCTGCGGGTGTTGCGATAATATTCTAGATTAAATCACTGTGCCACTGTGAGGTAATCTTAAAGCTGTACCCATTAGAACACATGAAAGCCTGTCGTCTGTTGTTCGTTCAGTGGTTGTGGAACGAATGCTTTTAGGATCGGTCATCACTCACCGCAAAATCTTGCGCATGCGTGTATATCGAATTCCTAGCAGGGACTTTCTCCTGGTCTGTGGACTGTACCTGACAAGAGTGAAATGTATCGAGATTGTTTCCATTATGTGTGAAGTTAACTGCATTTATGATATAAAATTGTTCTAACTGAAATTAATCTGTACAACACAAAGATGAACACTAAGATATATTTTTTCTGCAAGCATCAAAAGGAATTTTCATAAATTTTTTTCAGGAAACAAATTCAGTATATTGTCATAATAGGGCCTTTTATAGAAGCCCTTAGCTAACAACATGATCCAAACAAATGCTACTAATTTATCAGTTCCTCAGAGCTGAGTTTGAAACCTGCTCTCTCCATAGTGGAGATATAGTGTGTTCCAAGAAAATGTAAACACAGCAGCAGCGTTGGTGGCTGCCTGACAGTCAGTGTTTCTCCTCTCAGCTGTGCCATGAAGCTAACATTTGATTATTTTGAACACCTACATCACATTTACTAATTCACAAAGTACCAATGCTGACATACGTAATGGTTTAGTTTCTTAACATGTCTTTACTTCAATCACTGAATGTGTGTATACATCTTTTTGGGGCATTCTGTATATCCTGTAGTTCCAACAGCACATGATGTTCACATGAAGTAGTCCATTGACAATGAGGACCTTCTTGTAAGTCATATCCAGTATGATAAATATTCTCTTAGTTTAAACTGGGCTATAATAAGTTCTGCTGTTTCCACTGTGAATGGGACACCTGAGTACAGGGAAGTATTTTTCAAAGAAACATAGGTCGCTTCACCAAGCACTGGTTACAAGGCAAAAGCGCCAGCAGCTAATTGAAAGCAGCAACCACATATTTCCTAGGAAACCTCACGGCAGAAAATTCCATGTCACTTGTTGAAGCACATTTAAATGCTTACAATTCCATGGGATACAAAATGTCCTTATGATTTATTTTCAGCACTCATTAAAACATTTTTCCCCTCATAGGCTTGGGCACTGTTTGTGATGAGAATTAGGAACACTTTCATCAAGAAATATTCGTGGAGAAGTGACGCCAGGTAAATGTAGCCCCATCATGTTGGCTCACATGCGCTGGGCATTGCTAAGGATACCCCAGGGGTGGGGTGAAATACAAGAGTAAATTGTTAATAGCTACATTTTAAGTCAGTTCTATGTGCAATTTTCACTTTGATATTATTAACTGAACTTCTGTTTTCAAGTTTAACAATGTTTGTACATTTTCTGGTACCCTTTACAGGTCCCCAACTTTTTAGTTGGCTTGATCTATGGGCATTCGGTAGGACTCCTTGGATGAGGGACCGGCCCATCGCAAGGCCTCTACCTATTTACAGGACAACACAACACATAAAAACATCCATGGCATGAGTGGGATTTGAACCCAAGGTCCCTGCAACCAAGCGGCACAAGACCCACGCCTCAGACCGCGCAGCCACTGCGGACTCCTATTAACTGAACATCTGAGTTTTATTTTTGATTCACTCAAATTGGCAAAGACAAATTTTGAGGTCATTTTCAAATCAACATCCACATACTTTTGCATAAGTGCCAAGTTATTTTTGTCATCCAGTGTAAATAGTCCAGATTAGGAAGTTTGTGCAAACTCATTTATGAAACAAATTTGTAATACATCACAGTCTGCTATACCATGTGATGGTGTTTAGTTACATTACAGTATATCAACGAGGGCGCAACATTTCACATTCAAAAATATAACAAAGTCAAACTCTTCTATAACACTCATTTTGGCTGGCATGAGTACAATCTGAAAACTTTCATGAGATTTTTAAGTAAATGACAACTCCATTTTTTAACTGGCCAAATGATACTATTCATCCCGCGCCATGGCCGCGCAGTCTGAGGCATCATGCTTTGGACCGGCGATACGGAATGCGCGCTGGTTCGAGTCTCAGGGGAGAAGAAATTTTCTCATGAGCTTTCGACCAGTGTACGGGACGGATGCCAACCCAGCATCGTGAGGAAATTGGAGAGCTACGATATGTAGCGTAATCTGGCCAGGAAAACTAGCAATGGCTGAGGGTTCGTCGTGCTGACCACACGTCACCCTATATCTGGTTGGATGATCGTTCACCTCTGCTTAGGCATGTGAACGTGAGGCCAGCAGTCAAGCTAGTCGGCTTTGGCTCTCTGGAGCTGTTATGCCACGGAAATGATACTAATCACTACTGGCCAAACTGTGTCAGTATTCTCCAGAAAATTTTCGTTTTGGCAAATGAAATAACTGATAACCCCTGAATTACATTAATTTCTTACCTCCATCATATTTTGTTTCCTGGTTTTGGGTATCACCATCTGTTTCATTCTCCTTTTCCTCTTCAACCTCCCCTTCCATTTTCTTGCCATCCTCAAGAATAGACATCCTTGGTTGATGAGGTGGTGAAGATGCTGTAAGGTGCTCCAAAAGATGACTAAAGGATGCAGGAAGTTTATATGGATTAATCCCTGAGTTGGGGTGTGGATTTAGGTGCATTGTAGGAGCTACTGCCATATAGAAATGATGTAGGCTGGGAGCTGCAGTGTGAGGATGTGATGACGCTGCAGGGAATCTGCCAGGAATCCGTGGACTGACTGCAGACAGGAAGGAATCGCCATATTTTGGAAGCATATGTGGGAAGGTGGTGTTGTTCATATTGGAATTTGCTGTAGTATTGGATGTATTACTATTTAAAGGGCTGTTATTTGCTAGGGATCGTTTGGATGCAGGTCCTGCACTTCTGTGATGAGGTGCACATTTATCTAGGAGGGAATTGGGCCCACCACGACCTCCACGGCCCACTTTGAGGTTCATGATGAGGCACTTCTTGGAGGTCATGTGACTTGAGTACGATCCAGAGTGTGAGAATCGTTTACCACAGTTGGCACATTCGAAAGGTTTCTCTCCGCTGTGAATCCGGATATGCTCCTGTGAGGAGTGAAAAAAACTGTGAGAGTGTGTCGCCCAAACAGGTAATAGTGTGATACCATGCAAAGTGCAGATTAAGGGCAAAAAAATGTCTATATTGGTCAGTGTTTCATGTGGATAAGGTCTTGATCAATCAGAACAGTGCTAATGTTCCTATCTTCTAACAAGAAAGCAAATGACAGAAAGTGAGTAAATTAAAAATTGTTTATTGGGCAGTATCACTATTCTGGTAATGTTTTTAACTGAACAGAAAATTAACAAATTGGAAAACTTAAATCTGTCCTGCAGTAACAAATTGTGAAATTATACCAGAAAGACACCTCCAAATGCAATCAATTCACTCTGTCAGCCAGAATTAAATGTTTCTTACAGACTCTATAAATTCTAAACAAAACTGACAATAACTTTCAGAAATAGCGAGTTTTAGCACATAATTTTATACTGCTTCTGATCATACGTGTAATCCAAAAAATAAAAGTGCTCAAGTGGTATGCCATGCAGTTTCTGGTTGAAAGACATGGGCACGATCCCAATACAATGTAATTCTCAACTTGATGGCAGCTTTATTTTTAAAAAATAAACAATTCAAGATACACACAACTTTACATATACTAGTGCTTCTGCCTCAAATATACATACGGCTTTTCTCGATGAGAAATAGGTTCAATTATGGAGGATGCGCATTCTGTTGCTGTAAGCAGTTCTGGAGTGATAAATGATCCACATTATGAAATGGAATTCAAATGACTGAATTATTAAAATAGTTATCAATATGATGTTCGTAACTCACAGACTTCTATCATATTTACTAAAACACCTTCTTGTTTGTGGCAAGAGGTATATATGTGTAACACGAGTTTCAATTTTGAGTGGCTGACAGAAAATATATATTCAGAGTCACAAGAGTCTTTCAAGTGCAACACTCAGCGCGGAAAGACTTACCATCATAGCCGCAACATCCTTCAAAACTGAAGCGATGTTTTAGCAAAGATCTTCTGGCAGTAATTTAAATGTTACAATTACTAACAGCAGCATTCAAGCAACATAATAATATTTTCATGCACTCACATGGACAAATGCCCCCATGTCTCGGCATGCGGCCTCGCGACGAGAGATATCCAGCTGTGCACAGTTGGCAAAACTTGTACATAAAATCTCCCATGAGCAAAGTGAATATATGTAGACAGGCAGGCACATAACAAAACTTGCTGAATAACACAACAAACAAAAGCATGCGATAGCAGTAGCATGAAAGAAACAAATTCAAAGCATCAAACATTCATTAACAATACAGTAATGGTGACATACTCATACACTGCCAAGCACATTATAGCACAGAGCACTCAACAATATTTTGTAATATTTGACAAGCAGGGTTTCAAAAAACTCAAAACATAATATTCATCGCCCTGATGACGGAAGCAGTATGACCTCTGAAACGTTGGTTAACATCGACCAGACTACAGAGCGCAACAACCCAGATGACAGAAATCTTAATAATTAGTTAATTACTGAGTACGTTGGCGCATAAGTAACACATCTGACTCACATTAGGGAGATTCCCAGATCGAAACATAGGGAATCCTGACAAAGAATGAACATTCCTGGTGCCTGTAGCAGACATATTCCAAGATAACATCTTAGAATACGTCATAATGCTTTCTTGTATCATCTTTCATAGTTCTTAATTATGATCTGATGCTACATAACCTCAAAAGTTGAGCTAGAATGGTGAAATATCAGAAAATAAGATACGTCCCCAAGCACAGAAACATATCTACTTCACTGATATGGTCCAAGGAAAGTAGTTTAAGATGTTAGTGTAGACATCCCATTGTAATTGATTCATAAATTATTTATTTCATATTTTAATCCCTCAATCTCCTTTTTCCTTTCTTCTTCTTCTTGCAGCGTGGGTCTTAGCGTGTTCGACGAGTTTTTTTTTCCATTCTATCCTATCATTCACAGTTCTTCTCCATCCCCTCACTCCCATCGTCCTCACATCCTCCTCCATGTCATCTATCCATTGTTTCCGTGGTCTCCATTCCATTTTTCCTTTCATTCATACCTTTTCTACTCTCATCTTCTTCATTATTTTTCTGTCCTATCATCATTCCTCTCCCACTTTCTTAATTTCCTCTCTCTTTTTTGTATATTTATCTCCCTTCTCTCATACCATCCACAACCTTTCTATAAGTTTTAAATTATTTTCGTTTTAATACAAACATAACCTTAATTAAACCTTCTAATTTACAAATGTAAATATTAAAATATATGACATAGTAAATGTAAATGTATTATTGTATGGGTGTGAAACCTGGTCTCTCACATTTAGCGAAGACTACAGATTGTAGGTGTTTCAGAAGAATATTTATAACTAAGTGAAAGGAGGCTGGAGAAAACTGCATAATGAGGAGTTTTATAGTTTGTATTCTTTAGGGATGAAGTGGGCAGGGCAGATATCACACATGGGGAAGACAATAAATGCATACAAAATTTTGCAAACTATTAGCTTCTTAAGAAGGACTCTGCTTCATGGTATTAGTTAGCCCAGTAATTGTACAACATGAAATTAAGCCGATACACAGAAAAATAAAAATGAATTATTTTTTTATATATTCTGCAAACAACTACAAACAATAAATATATTAAATATAAACAATATGTTCACAGTAAAAGGTACCATAAATTAATGGTGCTTTAACACAATTACTTTCCCCTTTATTTATAACATATAAGGTCACTGCTGTTTTACATGCACAATCATATTTCTCAAGATGCAAATAATAAATACTACATTTCAGATTCCTGGGAAGAAAATGTATGGCCAAGTCTTCCAAGCGAGTTTTTCCTAGGCACTTAGTTATGGAACAACGTTGAAAAAAAAATTTGTTAGCCATTCAGAAAATATTAAAATAATTTAATATATTTCCGCATATTATTTCTAAGAACAAACATTAACAAAAAAAATATGTCCACAGCATAAGGCACCAACAATTAGGACTGCTTTTAATACATTAATATTTCCCTTAGTTTTTGTACCTAGAGCAGTTCTGCATGCGTGACCATATTTTTCAAAATGCAAACACAAAATATTACATTTTGGGATCCTGGGAATACAATACACAATAAAATATACAACGAAAGGTCAGATAAACAACACGAAAAATTCAGTCCCGATGATTTAAAATCAACAGAGAATGACCCTAAATTAATATTGCAATTAACCAAAAACCATTACCACCGTGCTACTGGCTGCAATATGACTTAGAAAAAATCCAGCAGTCTTTAATTAATTATTTGTACCTGTGAAGGCTTCATTGACACTTGTTCTGCGTCTTACATGATATTGACTGTTACGCTGTAGAAAATTATACGAGTTCCATTGAAGCTTACATTAACAGGCGAAGAGTTTTTTTTACAATAGCTATATTTTGCAGCATCTGCGGTGGAAATGCACAAGTACGCCAAAATTATAGAAAAGAAATTACCACCAGTAGAACAGGTTTAAAATTGTAGTGTCATGTGTCATCATTTTCTGACCTTTCCTTGTCGCAGTTAATGCACTTTGGGAAAGCGGGCATTGTTTCAAAACAGCGGTGGTTCTACATCATTTTGAAAGAGGCTGAGGTGAATTTATACAAACAGATCTACCTGCAGTTCTTCAGCGCGCAAGTCGAAATTTTTGGTTAGAATCCCATTCGTCGTGTATAAAATATTACAATATGAGTCAGAAGCTAAGAATGTTCGCGTGATAATCGCGAGTTCATAGAACAGCCCGTAATCTTCGCTGTATTTAATTTCTTAATTTAAACATAAAAATGTACAATTACATTTCATATTTCTGTGTACCACCTGAGAGACTACGCCTAACGGGTTGGGCATGCATCTGTCGAGTGATGTAGAACCAGCTGTCGAATGAGAATAATAGCAAAATGATCATTCCCTCTGCAACTACAATATTAACCTAAAAATTGCTTCTGTGCCTAAGCACCGTGCTGTGAAATCTACAGGGAAGTGGAGGGAAAGCTCCCATGCATTCTAGATAAAGTGAGTTTCGCATTCTTTTCAAGGGAAGACGGCCCTTAGGAGGGTCGCAGAGCCAATTAGGTTGTGGCCACAGATGGGAATCGAACCCCAGTCCAGCCCATAACCAGCAACTGGCTCTCGCGTTATTAAGATAAATTTAAATCGGTTTTGACATTTGAGGATTCCCAATGTCACTTCCTCACTGTAAGACAGATGTAACTACAGCCCACTGAACAAACACTGGTAGACCTACTTTGAGGTGGTGCTTGAATTTGAAAGCTTTCTCACACTCCGGACACTTGAACTTGCGTAGTACTGCACTCTCGTCGTGGCTTATCATGTGGCGCTGCAGGCGGTACACATTCGCAAATGTCTTGTTGCATACTTTGCAGGACTGTTGGTAAGAACAAACACATAAATGACACACGTTACAGCGCCAATGGCAAAAACTAACACACACATATATACAGGATGAGTCAGAAGTATATTTACGAACTTCGTGTGCGTGTTACAGGATAAAAAAATATTCTATTTTTGGCTATTATATATATATATATATATATATATATATATAAAATGGGCACACTTTGCAGGGCTCTTGGTAAAAATACACTTTAAAGGTTAGGTGCATGAGGTACACATGAACTTTGCAGGATTGCTGGTGTTGCAAATGCACATAAACCTGTGCTGGTTCAATCACCCTGATCATCTTGTCGATCTATGTGTGTGTGTGTGTGTGGGGGGGGGATTAGACGTTTTCATAGGTACTGTCAGAAAAATGCTGTATATGGCACATTACTGAAGATAAGACAAATCTCACATGCCAAATGCAAGAAACTAAATAAACTGTACGTCTTGAGAACTGAAACAAGTGAAAGCTAGAACTGGCCTTGAAGGACCACATGGAAAGAAACTCGATCGAAAGTTTTTAGGAACTAATTAAACAAATTTTATAACATTTATCAAGTCTAGAAAAAACATAGCAAGCCACAGAGTAACTGGCCAGGGAGATTCTTAATCACAAACCAATAATGCAAATAATATTTGAATATTTTAAACAAACCTTTGGAGTTCATCTTTTCAGCTATCATCGCTGACGCTACATGAAGCCCACACTAATATTTCATCATAAATATTCTTGTGTTCATGTCTAATGCAGGGCAGTAAGCAGTGGATGGCTCTCGTTCGATGGGCACGAATTTTGAACAAGCCTTCTCAAAGGAAATGACAACTGGTGTTGCTGGCACTCAAACATCAAAAGTGTGTTTTCTGAGTTCTCTAATTTTTACTGATACAACAATACTTGGATTAACACATTACACGAACACTTTCAAACTATCGTCGCACAACACATAAGAAAGATCGGTTATGAACTTGTCTGTAACCTGACGACATTTAGCCATCAACCACAAAACCGCGTTTAATTAA